TGTTGACCAGGATGGTCTCGATCTCTTGACCTCGTGATCCACCCGCCTTGGCCTCCCAAAGTGCTGGGATTACAGGCGTGAGCCACCGCGCCCGGCCAGTACATACTTTGATTGAAATGATAAAATATCCTTAACACCTCTATGGGGAGACAATTTACAACCACATCCATTTAATCTACAATGGTGCAATTCAGTGGTTTTTAGTGTGCTCACGGAGCTATGCAACCATCGCCCCAGACTAAGTTCAGAACATTTCCGTAACCTCAAAAAAGAGTCATCCTCTTTTTATCATCGTTAATCTTTTTTTTTTTTAGACAGAGTCTCACTCTGTGGCCCAGGCTGAAGTGTAGTGACGTGATCTCGGCTCACTGCAACCTCCCCTTCCCAGGTTCACGTGATTCTCCTGCCTCAGCCTCCCGAGGTAGCTGGAATTACAGACTTACACTACCGCACCCAACTAATTTTGTATTTTTAGTAGAGTTGGGGATTCACCATGTTGCCCAGGCTGGTCTTGAACTCCTGACCTCAAGTGATCCATCTGCCTCAGTCTCCCAAACCCTGTCTCCACTAAAAATACAAAATTAGCCAAGCGTGGTGGTGCGTGCCTGTAATCCCAGCTACTCGGGGGGCTGAGGCAGGAGAATCACTTGAACCCAAGAGGTGGAGGTTGCAGTGAGCCGAGATCACAGCACTGCACTTCAGCCTGGGCAAAAAGAGTGAAACTCCATCTCAATCAATCAATCAATTAATTAATTAATTTTAAGACCCCGTCTCTTAAAATAAATAAATAACATTTTTAAAAAGAATATATTTGGGAAAAAATAAATAATTGCACCTGGACTAAACATTCACAGACCTTTACTGTCATTAACCCCAAACAACACAGAATGACAACTATTTATAGCTGGGATTACAGGCATGAGCCACCGCCCGGGCCTATTGTATCAATCATTTCAAACAAACAATTCAGTGGCATTTAGCACATTCACAGTATTATGCAAATATCACTCTATCTCATTCCAGAACATCTGCAACCCCCCGAAAAGGAGACCCTGTCCCCATCAGCAGTCACTCCCCACTCCCCTCCCCTAGCCCCTGGCCACCACTAATCTGCCTCCTGTCTCTGTGGACTAGCCTGTTCTGGGCATCTCATACCCACGGGAGTCATACACCAAGGGGCACCTAGTGACTGCTCCTTTTTTTTTTTTTTTGTTGGTTCAGAGTCTCACTCTGTCGCCCAGGCTGGAGTGCAGTGGCGCAATCTCGGCTCACTGCAACCTCTGCCTCCTCGGTCCAAATAATTCTCCAGCCTCAGCCTCCTGAGTAGCTGGGACGACAGGCATCCACAACCATGCCCGGCTAATTTTTGTATTTTTAGTAGAGATGGGGCTTCACCATGTTGGCCAGGCTGGTCTCAAACTCCCGACCCCAGGCAATCTGCCTGCCTCGGCCTCCCAAAGTGCTGGGATTACAGGTGTGAGCCGCGGCGCCCGGCCTGACGGCCCTTTTTATTTGACAGGGTCTCCAGAGCTCCAGCCTCATAACTGCCTTTCTGTTCTGTAGACCCGCCAACCTCATTCCCCTCTCGGGCCTTTGCACTTGCTGCTTTCTGTGCCCGGGAGGCTCTTTCCTCTCCCTTCCCCTCCCTTCACCCCTGCAGATACCAAAGGCCACAGATGCTCCAGTCCCTTATAGGAAATAGCACAGTATTTGCATATGACCTACACATAGCCTCCTGTATACTTTATTATTATTGTTACCATTATTTTTAGAGATGGGGGTGGAGCATAGTAATGCAACTGCGGCCTCCATCTCCGAGGCTTAAGTGATCCTCCTGCCTCAGCCTCCCGAATAGCTGGAACTACAGGTGTTCCCGTATACTTAATTTTTTGTTTGTTTGTTTTTGGTTTTTTTTGAGACAGAGTCTCACTCTGTCACTGAGGCTAGAGCGCGGTGGCACAATCTCAGCTCACGGCAACCTCTGCCTTCCAGGTTCAAGCAATTTTCCTGCCTCAGTCTCCTGAGTAGCTGAGACTACAGGTGTGCACCACCGCGCCAAGCTAATTTTGTATTCTTAGTAGAGATGTGGTTTTGCCATGTTGGGCAGGCTGCTCTCAACTCCTGACCGCAGGTGATCCACCTGCCTCGGTTTCCCAAAGTGCTGGATTACAGGCATGAGCCATGGCGCCTGGCCTTAAAATTTATTTTAAGAGACAGGTACCATGGCTCATGCCTGTAATCCCAGCACTTTGGGAGGCTTAGGTGGGAGGATGGCTTGAGGCCAGGAATTCAACAGCAGCCTGGGAAATACAGTGAGACCCAGTCTCTACAAAAAATGTTTTTAAAATTAGCTGGGCATGGTGGCATGCACCTGTGGTCCTAGCTCTTCAGGAGCCTGAGGTGGGAGGATTGCTCAAGCCTGGGATATCAAGATTGCAGTGAACCATGATTACATCACTGTACTCCAGCCTGGACAACAGAATGAGGCCCTGTTTCAAAGAAAAAGAAGGAAACAGGGAAGGAGGGAAGGAGGGAAGGAGGGAAGGAAGGAGGGAAAGAAGGAAGGAAGGAAGGAA